CCCTGGGCTACCTGCCACTCCAGCCCACCACCCGCTGCTCCTCTCCCAGGCCAGCACTCACGTAGAACCACTGGATGTAGGTATAGGAATCATTTCCAGGGATGTAGAAGTTGCACTCGATCCTGGCCGTGCCCCCTCTCTCCACTTCGACCACTGCCGGCATGGAGACCTCCAGCTGGCTGGCGGCAGCTGTGGGACAGAGCGAAGCCCCCGCGTCTGAGCCAGCGAGAGCGCTGAGCCCAGGCCTGTCCCCCTCTCCATCCCCCCGAGGGTGTGGGGCAGAGCCATGTCCTGTGCCAGCGACCCCCCGGCGCCGTGTGCCAGCCCAGCGGGAACGCCAGGCAGGAGTGCTGCCCCCCGCCCCGCTGCCACGTTGTCTCCTGCGTCCACCGAGAGCCCACGGGCTCGGGCCGCCGACCCTGTTCACAGAGAGGGGCCGAGGCACGCCAAGCTCACGCCATGGGTCTCCCCAGGACACACGGAAACAACCTCCCACCCCACCGCTGTTGCAGATCCGCCCTCCCCGCGGCACCCCAGCCTTGCTGAAATGGGGCACAGGACCTCTGAGCCCCCAACCAACCCACCCCCCGTGGCACCAGGGCCCGCAGTGAGCAGATCGCCTTGCTGGCTGCCTTAATCTGAGCCTGGGGCAGCGCTGATCCCCCCCCACACCCTGGAGCACACATTACTCCCCCAGTCCGAGCCAGCGTCCCAGAGCAGCACCCATCACGCGCCTTACTGGCCCCAAGGACCAGGCAAGGAGGTGTCAGGAGGTCAGCAGAGGCAGGGGAAGGGGCTGGGTGCTGGAGACTGAAGTTGGTAGCACAAAGGCTGCACCTTCCCGCGGCCTGGGACCAGAGCCCTGACGTCAGCCTGCACGGCCCCCGCAGCGGCCCGGGGAGCAGGGGCATGAATGAGGCGCTGTGTTCCTCTGCAGCGGGACGGGGCGCGCAGAGCAGCAGCTCAGGAGGGGTGTCCCAGCCAGCTGAGCCTGCCTGCTGCTCGCTTTCCCCCTCCAAGGCAACAGGGCCCGTCAGGGAGGCAGCATGCCCCCCCGCCACCCAGGCAGGCGCCCAGAACCCAGCAGTGGGAGCACCCACCCCTGCAGCCTACCCAAGGCGAGCACCTCGCTGCTCCTCTGCTCCCTGCCCATAAAGCAAACCCAGCGCTGCCCACCCACAGCACGGGTGGCACCAGGGACCCACGCGCCCAGTGAGCAGAGCCTGCCCACCCTGGCACCCCACGCTCCCTCCCAGCCCAGCCGCCCGTTTGCCCGCAGCAGTAATGGAGCTCCTGGCCACACTCCAGAGCATCAGCGGGAGGTAAAGGCTATCGATCCAGGAGAAGGAACAGGGCAGCTTCCCAAGGGGCTGGGGGCAGAGCAGCCCCAGCCGGGCAAGGGCTGTGTCACAGCAAAGCTGGGAATGTCATCGCCACCAGCCCTGCGGGGGGGGGCTGCATGCCCTGGGCTGGCACGCAGCCCTGCAGCAACAGGGCCAGCCGGCTGGGCACCCACACCCCAGCTCAGGTATGGGAGCTGGAGATAAGAGGCTGGGGGAAGCCAGCTGTGTCAACAGCTCCCCGATAGCCCCGCTCGGAAACAGCCAGGGAGCCTCATAAGTGAGGCAACTCCAAAGGGCAATGCCGTGCCCACAAAATACTGATTTGTCTGGAGTGGGTATGTGGTAGCAGAGCCCCAGAAATGCAGGCAGGAGCCCTTTTACCACTGCAAATGACCTGGCTGACAGGACTAGGCACCTCAGGACACCCCACCAGCCAGCTTTTGGCCCTCACCCGTCCGGTCAGCACAGCACAGCTGGCACTAAGCACAGAGGGGCGAGCAAAGCACTGCGCAGGAAAGGAGGTGCGAGAAAAACAGGTGAAAGGCCCGGAGATGAGCATTGCACCGCCGTCAGGAAACGACGGAGCGCACACAGCGAAAGATAACTGCACTGGAGGCACTTGCCCACCTTCACGGCTGCGACCTGGCTGCCTGGCACAGCCAGGCACCTGCAGCCTTGAGCGAGCCAGGGGCACCCCAGCTGCCCCCCCCCCCCCCC